TGTGGATAATACGAATATTAAATCTTATATTCTGACTTCAAAGATTTAAAGACATTTTTAATACGTATATTATATTTAACATTGAGATTTTGGGACTCTTTTTAAGTAGTCCAGTTATTACATTAAAGAACACAATTGTTATCAATTTTTAAGTGATTCTATAAATACTTATCGTACTTTAATTCATATTCAGTCTAAAGTCATAAAGTATTATTAAGACTTTGAATTATCATTAAGACATTGGAAGTTTCCCTTTGAATATTCCTTAAATTTTATAAATACCTTTAAGTATTTCGAAAGCTCCATCAAAATGGTAACAATATTATATATTTTGAATGTTCAAGCACTTTTTTAACTGTTCAAATATTCAATATCCAAACTCTTATACTATTAAAAAAAATTAAATAAAAAATATATAATTACAATCAAATCTCTCTATAGTTATCACTCTTAGGAAAGCAAAATTTGGTGACTATAGAAAGGTTTTTTTTACTATGTTTATATATAAATGGGAAAGTAAAATAGGGTGACTATAGAGGGGTGTAATTATAAATGAACATAATTATAGAGAGGTTTGACTGTATATACAATAAGAAATTCTAAATATTTTTAATTAAAGTGTTTAACAGATTATTTTAATAAAATTTTGAGTAAATCTGATCAAATGCTATCCTGTGACAACACTGCATTGCTATAATCGAAGTTAACTATATATAAAATATCAAAAATTTTTGTTTATTAATCTATTTAAATAAATTTTCAATTTCTAAATATATAATAACAATTGAAAGAAATACAACAATATTAAAATTTATCACAAATATAATAAAATACAATTTTTCTTTCTATAAAAAATAATCAATACTTTTTACTTTTATATAAAAATACAAATAATGATTTATATTTTTTAGATTTTTTAGTTGCAAAGTAAGTTGATCAATTTTTTATATGTTTAATTATAAAAAATTAATCATTTATTTTGCAATTAAAAAATCTAACAAATATGAATTATTATTTGTATGTTTATATAAAGTAAAAACTATTGATTAGTAATTGATGCTGTTGCATTTCTTTTGATTGTCACTATATTTGCTAATATTTTATATATAAAAATTAAATGCAAATTTCTTTTAAGAATCACTTAAAAAAACTTTGCTTTTACTTATTTCAAATTACCAAGAAAACATTTTAAAATTGTACCCATAACATATGTATCACAGTACTATCGTAGTATTACGTTTCAGATAAGAAATGAGCATCGGATAACCTGAAATTGGCTCCAGAAACAGTAAATCCACCTTGATAAACAGATTTTCTTAATACTCCAAACACTTCGTTATATGATACTTGTACTAATTTATAAATAAAATTTTAACCATGATCCACGATTGCTTTAATCATACGATTTATTTGAGAAGTTATTGATGCGGTTGTTCTATTATTATATGGGTTTTAATTGGTGGCGTTATGGTACCATGGCACCATACTCCCTATTTATTAACAACGTGGGGATAAAAAAGATAGCCCTAAACTCTTTAGATGACCTTAACCCTAACCCTTAACTTTCAATTTGTTATTGAAAATGGGGGATTGTGCCATGGCACCAATGGCGTCACAATAATATTCCGTTATTATATTATTAAACTAAATTTTTACGGTAGATTTTGAATAAATCCATCTCTAGCCGCGTTTAATAATTTTGTCGCTTTGCACACAAACGAGGAGCAATACAACTTACACAGTTTGACTTCATCCGGAGTGAGATATTCGGCAGAAACTGCACGAAAGAGGATTTGAAATAAAAGATTTTTCACAAGAATTAATTTTGGCATGTCGTAAATCTTTGAATAAAACCCACTCATCGGATCACTGCTAAATTTCCTTTTTCTTTGCCGTTTTTTGTTGATTAACGGAGTAAATACTCTATTATATCGATATATTCTATTTTATCCACGTTTAGTTTTTAATATCTGGGATAGGAATCGATCCTGTAAAATCAAGGAAATCGATTTTTAGAGAAATAAGAAAAGCTAAACTCAAAGAAAAAGGTTATGCAAACAGCGATAATTTTTTTCAAAAATGAGTATTGAGATATCACTTCAAAGTTGTTAGTCATACAGAATATCGAAAATAAAACTCCGATTAGGAGTGACAAATATTAGTTAATATCATTTTATTATAGGGATGTCACTCAATATATGCACGTGAAATTATGTTAAAACACCTGAGATGGCCATCCCCCCCCCCACCTCTCAAATTTATTTTGGACGAGTTTTTGCATTTGATCTAGAGACTTTACTGATATGTTGAGTAGTTTATTATCTGTATATCGACTGTTCTGGACCTCGATCTGTTATATCGACTTTCTCATCTCAAATTTTACTGATTTGTTTGGTTTTTATCGCCTCACATATGTTCATGCATTGAATACAGGTTTTTAAAAACAAGTTCTTTCTTTATAGGCGTTTAAGTTCTCAAGCACAAGAAATCACCGCGAAAAAGTTATTTATACTCGCTCCCACAATTTCTTAAAAATGCATGCGCTTTCCCGCTACATAATCAATGTATACATTATTTCGATTATAATGAATCTTCATTTCAAACCTTTTATAAGTTTTTTTATCTTTAATACATCTTATAGGCTGTCCTCTTCTATAAATATAATCTGAAAATTATGTAAACTATGAGAATTACTCAATATCGATTGAGCTTTGTATTTTATTTATGTAATTGTACTTATTGGTATGTTGTTAATAGGGGTGCAGACATTTCATCTCTGTCATTTTTTATACGTTGTAACTGTGACGTAATACGTATAGGGTTGCAATTATCGTTATGATCTACACGGGAAATTCCAAATTTATGTTGTGTACAACATAATTTTTTTGAAATATATACATGTATTCAAGAGATGTTATTTTACTTTTTTAAATTAACAATTGTCGATCGATTATCGCTATTTGTAAAATAAATTTTCTTACATAAAATATCGAGATCGTCAAATTAACAAAATATTTATGGATTGTTGTGCGTACACTGGGAATCGAACCCAGGTCTACCGCGTGGCAGGCGGTAATTATACCACTAAACCATGTACGCATTTTGTATTGAAAATTTGTAAAAATAATAATATTTATAATTTTCGACTATTTGTAGGTCTATCGAAACCGTTTTTTCTTGCATTTCCCCCTCACAGCGGCTATCAGGTAAAAATTTATGCCGATCTTCAATTCTCAAACTGCAATAACGCGCGTAATGATCAATAATTTTTTTTATAGCTAATAAAATTCAATTAATATGACCATTTTGAATGCTTTTAAAGCGAATTTATATATTATACATGATGGAATTAAACTTTCCTGAAAATAAGCTTAAAACTATTTTTGCTATTGTTCTTGTTTAAAATGGATTTTTTGCCAATCTGTTGTGATGAATGTCCTTTCCTTATACATGTAAGGTGACATAAAACATAACGGTAGAAATGATGATGATGAATTTAAAGCGTTATGCGGCCCGCAGTATCATGAATTTTTAAGATTATTGATGTGTGTATTGATTGTCGCGTGGAAACAGTATGACGTTATGCCAGTTTTAAATTTAAACTATTAATAATATCATAATAATTGTAACAATTATAATTAAAATAAAAAACGCGGCCAAATCACTCTTTTCAGAGTCGTGTTTAACTTGTTTAACTTTGAGAGTTTCTTCTAGCTCGATGTTCTTGGTTGTTAAATAAACTAATAATCTGTCGGAGATATCGTTTCGTAGGGCGGTTGAGAGCTTTCTAATCTGACCAAACTATTATCATATTACATTATATACGTAAGTGTTAAGAGGGAAAGTGAATGAAAAAAGAAAAGAAATTCACCTCTTTTACAATAAGCCTCAAGTCAAGCAAATCAAAATTAATGTATTCGAGCAGTTTTTCACCCTGAATATCAGGAACTATATCATCATGATCTTTTGCCCAACGTATAATGAATTCGAATAGAAGACAATTATCGTTGCTATCCTGTAAAATTTGTACACAATAGAAAAAGCCTTAATTAGCCAAACAACTCGTCAATAAAAATTATTATAAATAATTTACTCTTGATACATTAAAATTTTCAAGTATAAATTTCACGGCCGAAAGAAGGAGTTTTTGCATGCCGTGCTGTTCGTATTGTGTACTCATAAATGCATTCATCCGGAAGAGATATTTAACACATATCATCAAAACCTTTCTATAAAGCCCGTTGTTACTGTTTTCATCATTCAGGAAAAGTTCCGTCATCTCATTCGTGAAGGGAACTGCATCATTGGCTGATAAATATTCATCCACGTGATTTAGTATCGGCTGCTTCAAATGCTCTATATTTAATTTATTCACAAGCAAGATAAATGCTGCAAGGTGATTATGCGATTTTTGATGCTCTTCCCATACGATAACATCTTGATAGAAGTATCTATGGATTTCTTGATAAGCGCCAGGAATAATGCCTTTGTCAATAGGAGTAGGTCCGATGATATCCTCAAGAGAAATAGTCGTGACTAATCCTCCTTTATAAAAAATAGGTTTTATATGTATCAGTATCAATATTTTAATTAATGTCAATTTCTACTGTTACCGTGTTCAAATTCGTGGGTTAACGTTAACAAAGGGCCCTTTTTTTGAAAATACTGATTAATTGTGGGAGATCTAGCTGCTAGAATCGATCTATTTGTTATTAATATAAAGGAAAATATTATTTACAGTGCGATTATAAAACGTTAAAGATAAGACACCATCAGATTACATACTTATGACAAAGAACAAAAGTTTTATTTGGCAGAATTATGTTCAAGTCATAAACATTTGCATTGTTGTACAGTAGAGATAGATCCGATAAGAGTGTTTTCAAAACAATTTTTTGAGACATTTGAAAACAAGTATCTATCGCTATGGGGAAAATAGGTATGGGAGAATAACTTTCCCTATTATTCAAATTAACCAAATTTGGTTACTGATAAACCGTATTGGAATAACGAAGAAATCTCCGTATTTTATTCTCGAAAATTCTATTGTTTGTTAATCAACATTTATTCTCGCTCCAATTCTTTCATCGATTGTAACTCTGCAGCATTTAGCGATATTTTTTTCATATCTACGTAACAGGACACACGATTAATGAGTAATTTACATAATAAAACTGGTTTTCTTTGCCCTGTTTATAATATACCACCCTAAAACTTTGTCGCAAGCTCTCGTTCAGGCGCAACTGGTGAACCACTTTTCATGGCAAGAATTTGCGAACGGAGAATAATCAAGCAAAAGTAGACAAAATGGACGCTGATTTCGAAGGTGTTTATTTTATAGGGAGACGTTATTTTTCCACGTTATATATATCACTTTGTTCGCGGAGACCCAGGCAACAACTTTATTCGAAGGCTCTTTGAATGCTTTGGCTGAGACTTTAGGTGAAAAATTCGAAAATGCGACATCAGATGTTCAATTTTACATGTGACAAATGTTTACATAATAAAATTTTATAGTATTTTTGGAAAGAAGCATTTGTTTACTTTTGTACTATGCTTAATATAATTGATATAAGCATATATATACATGCTATATATATAATATATAATATATAATATATAATATAATATAATATAATATAATATAATATATATTAGAGTAAAGCTGATTAATTCAATTCCGGATCCGAATCCGAATCCGATTCATATTCCAATATATGTATTTCATTATTGTTGCATCCCTTGGTTCGCAATTTTTGAATTTCATTTCGAAGCTCGCTGATGGTATTCTCTTTATTCTTCGAATCGTCGTGAAGTTTTTTAAGTTTCTCTTCAAGATTGATATTTTGAATGGTTGATTGATAAAGTAATTTATCAACAATATCGGCATGACGAGACGGCGAGAGTTTTTTGATATTTTCAAGCTATCGAAGGAGTCATTAGTAAGAACAGTAAAAGATGTTATGCGGAATGGCGATTGCCATTTTTACCTGTCTTGCGACTATTTTAGGTTCAAGCAAGTCAAAATCAATGTATTCGAGAAGTTTTTCGCCTTGAATTTCATGGATGATCTCGTAGTGAGCTTTAACCCAACGCATAACAAACTTGAATTTGATGATTTCTTGATCACTATCCTTGGTGTCGTCCTGTAAATGATTTGATCAAAGTTAAACTAGTCGATAAGGATTCATGAATTGGATGATTGTACACGCGTGCATTACCTCCAATAAATTATCAAAGTTTCCAAGTAAGAATTTTACCGCCGCGAGAAGAAGATTCTGCATTTCATGTTGCTCAAATATCTCGCCCTCAAATGCCTTAACTCGAAAGAAATATTCAACACATTTCATCAAAATGTCGTCATTCAAGAACCATTCTGTCATCTGATTCATGAAGGGAACCGCGTTACTGGTGGATAAATATTTCTCCAAGTGATCCAAAATTGGTTGCTTCAAGTGATCGATACGCAATTTATTCACGAGTAGAATGAATGCGACAAAATCGTGAGGAGATTGGTTGTGCTCTTCCCAATCGATAACGTCTTCATAAAAGTATTGATTAATCCCTAAATACGCTTTGGAAATCGAGGTTTTCACAATGGAGATATTTCCGATGATAGCCTCAAGAGAGACGTGCTCAATATTATCGGTAGCATTAACCGCATCTTCCCATTTGGTATATTCTGTTTCGCCTATCAATGGAGAATTTGGTGGTTGTGCGCTAATCTTTTGAAAATATTCGCGGATGGTATATGATCTCGCAACTAGAATCGATCTAAATAAAAAGCATGGGAATATTTAAATAACGCGAGATTTATCATAAGATACATGTTACGGGTAGAATCAATTACTTATGAGAAGGAACAGGGATTCCATTAGGAAGCAGTATTTTCAAGTCACATAGGGAATCATCCCTGAGTAAACGAGAAAGATCTGTCGCGAGTGTATTTAAAAAAACTTTAACCATCATAATTTGTTTAAAGAGTAAAAGATGATAATAAAGACAAGACCAGAATCCTGTATGTGATGAAGATCCTGGGAAAATATTTATTTACAATTCACATTTATTATATAATAATTCTTCGTGTTTTATGTCATAAAAGCCATCAAATGATCAGCCACTCCTGAGAATCATATATGTCATAGACAGCAACAAATTAAAGACTAATGCACCGTTCATTCTAGTATACACCCAGATCAAAAATAACTTTCATCAAGCTTAAATCCTTCCATTTCAATCTTAAGATTTTCTAACAGATTTTTCTTGGTTTGCGATTTACGCGTGACGAATTTTGGATGATTGAGATACTTTTTTTATTATTGATGATTTAAGATTAGAAAATCAAGGACTCGAATAACATCACTACAAATAATAGTTACCACGGGATCTTTATCAGTTTTATTCAAACATCTAGTGCAAATCTTTGTATCTCTGTTGATGTCAAGCGCCATCACCATACGTTGAGGAACCCGAACAAGGCTACTAGTGTTTTTGTTACTAGTCCCGTTGTTGTTTTTTTGCGCGTCAAGATATTCTTGATGTTTGGGATGGCCACATTCAATTACTGCAACTTTTTTGTTGTCTGTCTGCGAGAAATCGAGCAATTGACGACGTTTTTTGTTGGTTTTAGGCATACTTGGAAAATTGATAAGTAGTAGTCAGAAAAGATAGCGTCTCTAAGTTGAAAGAACTTAAATAGTGATAAAAATTATTTATTAGACTAATTCTGATAGTTATCGATCCATTAATCAACCTTGTCTTTTTCTTTATCAGAGTGATCTTACTCATCATGAGTAAAGTTATGTCAAACGCGAAATTAATTGTAATTGCAAAAGTCGCGGCTGTTTTCACAAATCAATCGTTGCTGCTGTTTAATGCTTACTAATCATCGATATCAATCACGGAAAACAAGATGCTTCATAATTACATAATAGATTGCAATATTCCAATAACACCATGCGTGTGAAGCAGCGACTTGAGCATCTTTCAAGAAAATGTCTAGTAAAATTCCCTTAAAGAATCTCGCCGAGGATATTTTCCTTTTACTCAAAGATGATATTCTTTATGACCTGAGAATAATACTTCCCAATGGATACTTTGTTTTCTGTCACAAGTAAATAGTTCGTCCATTTCTCGTGGATTTTTCCAAATGATCACTTAAAACATCTTTGTTTCTAGGGCGATTTTAATCGCGAGATCAGACAGAATCCGTGAATTCTTTCAAGAAAGGAAAATACAACCAAAAAATAATATTGAGACCATCTTTCTCAAGGATATTCTTGAAAATATTCCCACTGTAGAAAATTCCACTCCAAACGCATATTTAGGCATCAATCGATATTTTTACGAGGATGTTATCGACTGGGACGAGCACACCCAATTTCCTCATGACCTTGTTGCATTCATTTTACTCGTGAATCGATTACGCATCGAGAATTTGAAGCAACCGCTGCTGGGTTACCTGGATGAATACTTATCGACCAATAATGCGGTTCCCTTTACGAATGAGATGGTCGAACTTTTCTTGAGCGAAGAAAAAAGAAACAACGAAATATATAAAATGATTTTAATGAAATGCGTGGAATATTTCTCGCGGATGAATGCATTTGTGAATGCACAATACAAACAGCACGACATGCAGAAATTCCTCCTTTTGGCTGTGAAATTTATACTGGAAAATATTGATGCATCGAAGGTAATGAACCCAGAAGCGAAAATTAAAATAATATGGTTTTGATTCTAAAATTTTTTATAGGACGTCGAAGCAAAGTCTGTTCATGAAACTACAAAGTTCAACTTTATCATCCGTTGGTCCAAAGCTCATGATGATATAATTGACGATATTCAAAATGTGAAACTTCTCCAATACGTGGATTTTGACGCGCTTAATCTGCAAATTATTGCATCGGAGGTATACTTAATAACACAGATTAGAAACGTATTTTGCTTGTTCCTGAATATTTTTCCTTGCATTTATCAAACAGATAGAACAGATCAAAAAACTCGCACCAACTCAGCACGCCGATATTATCGAAAAATCATTTTGTAGATCAATTGAAGAGAACAACATGAAACATCAAAACAACTCGCAAAAAAAATATCGAGAATACGAAAACATCATCGATGAACTCGAAAAATCTCGGATCAACTTGCAAAAGAAATGTCAAGAATACGAAAACACCATCGTGAGGATCAAGTCGGATTTCCAAAGAAAATTTCAAGAATACGAATGCACCATCGACGAACTCCAAAACTTGCAAACGAAATGTCAAGAATACGAAGACACCATCGCGAGAATTCTCAATTTACCCGAACAAATTTTATATTATTGAAGAGATTAATCGATTTTTTCACATGATTTTATCAAAATTACATATTATTTGCCTATCCAAACGGAAATATTCTAATTTGGTGTTACTTTCTTAACGCAGTTACCAATTCATGCGTGCTCATCAATTCAAAAAAAAAACGTGCCTCACGTGGCTAATTTAAAGTCAGTTATTCGAGCAAAGTTCGTCTGATATTCGAGAAAAGGTTGACAATATAAATAATACATCATCGTTAGTTTAAAATGAACGCGTGTATATTCGATACATTTGGAATTCCGAAATTTTTTCATTTTGTGACCGCAGAACGTGTCACAAGAAGAGCGGGAAGGATTTTTTCCGATCCTGTATTGTTATTCTGTATGCACCTCATTTGTATTTATGCTGTGTAAGTTGACTGGAGCATTTCATATTATTACATATATAACTTTGCAATGATGATAAAAATATCATCACTAGTGGTTAGGGAAATAATAGCAGACTTTCGGGGTTTTTATCCAAAAAAAAAAAAAAGGCAAACTATTGACCAGACTTTATCCTTTACAAGAAATAGAAACGATCATCAGACACACACATCTATCATATTAAAGAGGATTGATCAGTACACACGCCTTGCTCTTTATAAATCGAGTAATTATTATTGTATACTTTTTCCTCAATGATAAATAAATAACAAATATTTGAAACACGTATATCAAAATTTATACCTGAGATTAGCCATTGACGCATATTTTTTAAAGACAAAAAACAAAAACTTTGAAAACATGAATCCCATTTACACAACAGATACTACTCCCTTCGATTCAACAACAGACACAACCCAGCAAGCTGCCGTTGCTGCCGCTGCTGCGGCTTTCACCTTCGATGCCTGGGATTTTACTCCTATCAACGATAATTTTGAGGCGCAAAAGTATTTGGCAGAAGCTATTGCTCATAACGACGACTCTAAGAGAAAACTAGAGCAGTTGGGGGATTTTGTGACGCAAATTCCATTGAAAGCTAGTCGTATGTAACAATAAATATTATATCTATTGTTGTGGTCTGCTGGTTTCGATTTGGTATATATAAATAATGCTTTAACTCTCAATAGACAATCTCAATATTACATCCATACCTCATGCTGACCTTTCCGGTCAAGGTATTTATTGAGATAATCATTGTTACATAAAATAATAAGTTGTTGGCTTTGGGATATATCAAGTATTGTTAAATACTTATTGATTGAACATAATAGAGTCTCTACCAGATTCACCACAATCTCCGCAAGACTCATCAGAACCACAAAAAAAGAAGCCTGGCAGAAAACCATTAACAAACACTCCAAGCTCTGTAAGTTCATCATCTTTTTTTCTCCTATTCCTTATCACAGTCGCATTGCATTCATTACAAAATCATCCTTACGATAATATATGTACATAAATATAATAGAAACGCAAAGCTCAAAATCGTGCGGCACAGAGAGCTTTTCGTGAACGAAAAGAACGATACGTCAAAGAGCTAGAGACCAAAATCAAAAGTTTAGAATCACAATCAGCTAAAACCACGCATGAAAATGCACAGTTAAAATCACTAGTCGAACAATTGCAGACGGAAAATTATTTTTTGAAACAATCAACATTTTCTTTTGATTTTTCACTAGAAGACAATGGTAAAACGACAGAGAATTCGCTTGCTCTCGATAAAAGTATTGCTGATCTTTTATTGTCACCTAATCAACCATCGCAACCTAAACCTCTACCGGTTGACCCGGTTGATCCGGTTGATCCTTCACTTAATACACTATCGATTGATCTTGATCCGTTCACTCCACCGTCATCAAATGAGAGTGATGAAGAGCTGAGTCCATCCCTTAATAATCATGATAATAATAATCTTGATAATAATAATCTTAATGATAACAATAATAGTAGTAATAGTGATTCAACACGGGCGAGTTCGGAAGCCTTTGAACCAATTGATCTCTTCGCTGAGGCTGATTTCAGTCAAACATCACAGACGACAAAACCATCGTCAGTTAAACCACAAAATGCACAAGAATTCTGTAAAAAATTCACAAATGGCATGTGCCCTGATGAAGATGATGACGAAGACGAGGACGAGGACGATGACAATGACAGTGATGAGCATCAAGATCTAACAACCACCAATAATATGCAAAATTCCGTATCAACAGACAATTCAAAATCAAAATCGGCAGACTATACTAGATATCGTGATCCTACACCATTTACTGCGTCTATCGACAACCCTTACTCTGAATCAGAGCCGATTCCACCACTTTTTGAAGGTGATTTTGAAAGTTTTGGCAGCTATGCACCAATGCAAACTCCTGGCCAAGAAATCAAAAATCCGTTGGGTGCAGTTTTCTCAATCGAGGATATAAGAGACAAGAAATATCTCTCGTGTAATAAGGTATGGGAAAAGATTCAGCAACATCCAAACTTCGATGACTTCCAAGGTGACGAGATTGATAATTTATGCAATGAATTAAAATCCAAGGCAAAATGTTCTGGTCATGGACCTGTAGTACCCGAAGAAGAGGTTGATAAAATACTTGTAAAGTTGGAGGAAAAAGACCTTTAAGTAAGCATCATCACCACGAAATATATTTATTGTTTTCATCTTCCTGTTCCCCTTTTTAAATGTAGATAACTTTTTATACAAAAGGTACACTTTCTTAAACACGTATACTTTTCCATTTTATTTTATGCTATTATCTTTATGATATGTTGATGTGTTAATTAGTCAAAATTTTTCAATGCTATACGATCATCACATCATCACACGCATTCTTTACTTTCCAAAAAATGATCAATTCATATTACTAGTAGAATATTATTCTTAGTAAAAATTATTGTTACCTTCTCTTCCTCGAGTTATCATCAAAACTAGAAACTATATTAATCCTTTTTCACAATGTACATATAACTTACCCTTCATTGTTTCATTATTTTTTTTCATCTCTGATCTTAGGATGCATTGATAGACAAATGAGGTTATGCGAGAGAGAAAGTTGGTCATCCTCCAATTATATAAAAAATTCTTTGTTATTCTAATAATATTATTCAGTAATATAAAAATAAATAACTATGTTCAATTAATGTTACGTGCGTGGAGGGAAAATAATATGCGCTTTAGTGTGAGTGGGATTAAATTATCGTTGGACCAAATGTTCTAGCGACGCGAGGTAATTTGCTTGACTAATTCATAGTTAATTATCTGGCTAGCCTCAGTGAATGTTACTACGGCATAACGTGATATACTATGGCGTGATCCTATTTATTGTGTTCCCAAAAGAATTTGCTTCCATTTAATTTACATTACCTGCAATGAACTATGAAATAACAGGCGACAAAATCCGAGTGACACTTTCTGACGGCCACTCATTTACACCAAGAGACCCAACACCCGAAGGAGATATAGTAAGCTATTTTCGCTCCGTTAATGAAGCGTCAGATCTGGAATGGCGTAACAAACTCGGCGAGGGCTTGGTCTTGTTATTGAACGAGAAAAAGGGAACCAACATTGGTATGTTTCTATAAAACGTTTTTCTAGTTGACTTCCATTGCCGGCTTGACACTTAACAACCTATAACTTTTAGAGCTACCAAAGAGATTAAGTGCGTTTCCACGCGGATATGCTCTTTACGAGCACATTAAAGAAACAGATAAATTCAAAAGAAATGATAAATATCTCTTTGGTCTCGGTGAGTCAATCATACGCGATTTTTTTCGCTTTTGATGATTATTTTTCTAACAATAAATGAACGCGAACTTTTCAAATTAGGTGAGAAACGTTTTCGATCACCCAATGAATTCGTTCCACACCTATACTGGCTAGCAACGAACCGGGAAAGAAGATGCCAATGCAAAATCTGCACAGGCGCAAAATTAACTCCACAACTGGTGACCGTGAGTAATATCGGTAGTAGCAGTGGAAACCCCACCGAACCAAAACCTCAAAGACCCGCAAAAGGAAGATCTGTTAAAGCCCCTTTATTTCGAGTTGGTGAGATTATATGGTTCAATATATGCCAGGCGGCCGACTACAGATTAGCGGCATTTGGGGGCCTTATTGATCTCGATAAAAGTAAAAACAATATTAATGATATGCAGCATATAACAAAATACTGGCCATGCGTTGTACATCGTGTGCAGAAACACGACATCGAAAATAGTGATGACTTCGAATTTCGATATACAATAAAGCTTTTGGCGTTGCCACTTAACGAGACTGTGTCAGAGAGGTCACTACGTCCTTGGATATCCTATCAACCACGAATGCCAACCAGCATATTCGCAAACACATCATCAGAAAATGCCATAATCGAAGCGAGTCGTGGCACTCTCAGTGAGTTCATTCAACCTTATGAAAAAGCCATATCCATAGCACGACGGATCGTGCAATCATATTGCCCGATGAAACCTTATTTCTATTCCGAGTCACAAGAAAGCAATTTCGCCAACGACAGAGACAAAACGCACCTGAGACAAATGAGTTCTTTTCAACATTACCGTGAAATGTACATTGGGGCAGAGAAAGTCCGCGAATTTGACTTCTTAAGACTTTATCCTGACGATGCTCAAACATCAGCTTTCGCAGCAAGTTCCTCTTCTTCCAAGGTAAAGGATGGATCTAGTATCAAAAAGGACAATTATTTTATGATTTCGACAATTTTTTACAATCCTGCGAAAGGAATACAGTTTACTGGGGATTTATATGAAATGGGTAGATCTACTATAGATAATCCTCGATACATTGATGATTTTCAATGGATACCATTAAACGAACAATACGAGGAATATACAATCGATTTGGCAGACGTCATGGGACGTTTTTACGTGTCTTTTCCACATTTGAACCATCCGATGTCTATACAACATAACCGCATGAAAACTGAAATTGAGCGAGATGAACTGCTGTATCCCGACGCGCCACCATTTTCTTCTCAGACTGAAGACGAGAATTTCAATGCCGAAATAGATCGTCTAATTATGAAATCACTTTCTCCCAAAATGCATGAGAAGCGCTCTGTACAAAATCTTCAATTAAGTCCGAGCAGCAGCAAAAGACAAAAGATCAACAATAGCTTCAATATTAAAAGTATGGCCAAAGAATCCGGTAGTAAACCGGTTGATGAGGTCGTAGTAATCGACAGTGATTCCTCCGAGGAAAAAATAGATATATCTCATACGCCAAGGAAAAATAATACATCGTCAAGATCTACCCAAAATCATTCAATCAGGTCCACAGATTTGACTGTCACAAATGAAGATCATGTTAATTCTAGAGAGAATATTGGTTGGAGCGGTAAAATAACGTGGCCAAAGTCTCCCGATGGAAGAACTTTGCTTGCGGCGCCTGAGTTGCCTTTACAAATACCTGCGGAAATGAATTGGGAGCATGGTATTGAAATTCGAGCAAAGTCATTTCCACTTGCCTCTAATCGAAGTTGGTACGCCTTGATTTATTATTGCTTGATATCTCTGTTTTTATCTCTTAACAGTTCTCTATATATTCATAGTGATATCTTTGAACATTTCCCACGAAATTTGACCATATCGGCCATCTCAAATCTTGATCCATTTGAAGCATATGATCAGACAATGGGAGATTTGGTTCACTTTTGTTTGGATCCAGATTTTCCTTTTCCGTTCATCAATCGCCTACACTTTAATGCACTAGCGAAAACACTGTTCTCTAACATGATGGTATGTATTGTTTTGATTTAATTCGTGATCCGCGAATAAGGGAAAGAATTAACTATATAAATTCCGGTGCAAATTTATATGAAAATTAATAATAACCCATAAGCTGGAGCCAATTTTGAATAATGGATAAATATGAATATTCAAATAAAAGTTTATCAGCTGAGTCTTGTGATTCTTGCTATTAAATGGATATAAATTTATTTGAATATTCACAATACAGATGAGAGCTGAAAATAAAGACTTGGCTGGGTTATTATATGAATTTATATAGTTAACTCTTTCCTTCACTCGCGGATCACGAATTAGGACATAATATTTTTTGATTATAAAATTATCTAATTGTTTTACATGTATTCTTATCGTGTAAAAGTCTGTAGTTGTCGTTTTTGGACCTCTTTCGATCCTCTTAAAGTCGGATGACGGCACCAACATTCTTGGTCTTTGTTCTCTGCAACGCACCAACAACACCAATACACCTAATCATCGTGCTACCATCACTAATAATCCTCCAGCATCAAACCACATAAGATGCATAAACAAAAAAACCCAGCAAAAAGCCGTAATCGACATCTCGGATGTGACAACCCTTGTGGAACTATTCCGCAAGATAAGCGAAGCATTCAATTTGTCTTTACATGATAAAACTCCCGAAGAAATTCGCTTGAGATTCAAAGACAACAACCAGGAATTATATCTTATTCTTCCAACGTTGTCCTCACCTAAGCAAGCTTATGGTAATGACGACAGTTTTGGCCGAAATCCAAAGTATACTCATTCTCTGGATTTTGTTAAAAAGCATGCTAAGATTTTGATATTCGAGTTGTGAGCATAATGGATATAATTTTTTTTGTTATCCACAGTTTTGGTTATTAAATTATGTATACTTTAATACACATATAGCGATAGTTAGTATCTAGCAATAATAATTGTTTTTCTTGATTTTCTGCACTAACGCTAAGAATCATAAATAAATAAATTCTTAATTCATGAGGACATGTGACCTAACAAGTGTGAATGCAAAATCAATTTTGGAGAAGTATAAATATATATCAAAGCGCATTATATATAAGTTCTGTTAGCTGGAATCGACGAAAATTTATTTCTCGTATGATTTAGATGAATTTGGATTGTGACGGCAAGATGATGGCGAAATGACGGCAACATGACCGCGCCAGAAACTAAATTATAAATAGAAAGCGGGAATTTGTATAAAAAGAACCGGTATAGGGAGTAGGCTCTCTAATCCAGTAAATTTGTTACCTGGATTATATAGTAACTTTACTAATCCAATAAATTACTGTAATAATCCAGTAAAAACCTAGTGCCAACCCTAAGTGGAGGGAAGTGTGAGGAGTTAAGGGATTAGCATATGAATGAATTGTTACACTCGTAATTAAGATGACATTGACAATCTCGTAATGCGTTTCGTAATTCCGCCCAAACACCCGCTGACAGTTCCAAAAATTACGCGTATAATTTCTTTGACTTAGTTCTGTAAATCAACGTACGATCACGAGATACAATGTATACTAAAAAATTCCCGCGTGATCTACTTACTACACAGACTCTGACACCACCCATTTCACATTTCGCAACAACAACATGTCAAAGCAAAGTTCTCCCTCTTCTCCAAGTTCGCCAGAAAACAGCAATAATATGTTTGAAGACACAGAGGAGACTCGCTTTCAACTAAATGAGTATGTTCTTTGCTTTAGCGGGCCGATTCTTTTTAATGCAAAGGTTCCGTATACTTTATTATCTTTTCTTATTTAGTTTCATAAACTACTTACGCTAAGGATAAATCCCGTAATAAACATGTGTTGAAATATAATATTACACTGTACCTTTTTCACAATATTAATTACCTTCTTCGTTAATAATTGTTTCTCATGTTACACGATATATCGCACTTGAACAATTCACTAGGTGATCAAGATTAACACTTGTTACCTGGACGAGTATAATGAGATAAGCACTTATTATAAGGTTCAATATCAAGGATCGGATGTTACTCAGTACGTATTTCTTTGATTCATACTTTGTATCTGCGTGAGATGTTTGTTTGATCAAGTTTCGCGATTTATAGACCAGAAGAATGGATGCCAGAAAACCGAGTCCTAAAGATGGACAAGGAAAACCTCGAGTTACAGCAGACGCTAACAAAAGAGTTAAATAATAGACCTTCTGCCATTATATCACGACGAGATTCTACTGAAGATCCTAATATGAATAGTGCAACCGAAGATATGGAAATCGAAGCTTCAATAGCAACAACAATGCATCCTACTGTATCACAACCAAGTCGAAAGAGTGACGATTTACAAGAATCAAACACCATTGAAGTGATCGATGCTAATTCATTGGATAATATGATTCTTGATGCTATTTCCTCACCATTGGATGCAGATCCTGTAAATCTGACACCATCTGACACCATTCAAGCAGTTTCATCATTAACGGAAGTCACCCTCACCAATTCCAACTCAATTACTTTTGTCATGAAAACTAAAGCAACAAGTGATGCTGTTCATGAGATAAACGATACTGATGATGTTAATCTCATTACGAATAGTAAAGTTGCAAATGATGCTAAATTGACGGAAGAAAATTCATCAACTGCAGTTATCGATACGGCATCACTCGAAATCAAGAAAATTTCCGCTTCGGAAGGTTCATCATCATCTACGAACGATAATATTAAATATAATAACCTCGTTGTCTCTGGATTTTTTGGAGTAGAAAAGGCATCCAAAGTTAGTTATGAACCTTCAGCAGGAAAGATTGAAACAACCTCATTGGAGTTTCCTACCTCAAAAGAAGTTTCATCTTTAGAAGAGAATGTATTTGAAGAAAATCAAAACCCAACTATTGTCGATGATGGTTGTGATGCATCGAACAACGACATCACCACCATTGCTGGGATAAAAAGAAAATCCAAAAATAACAACGTGAATAACGATCCATCATTTAAGAAAGAATCGGCAAACCATTTCGAAAATACCTATCAAGAGAATACAAAAACAACAGATTCTGGTGGCGTTATTGTACTTTCGAATAAACCCAAAGTCAATAAAAATAGTTCTTCAACTGCAATTAAAGGAACGACATCACTGGAAACGGATACGAGTTCACGCGAATTGCCTACAGAGGAAGAATCATCATCCGTAAATTTGAATGCAAGTGATTTTGACAATAATGGAGTAGTGACTAGATCGAAAGCCAAATTCAAAGATAAAACTTCTTCAACTATGAGTAATGATACGACAACCAATGCTTCATCATCAACGTCAAGTAACAAATACAAGAATAATCTTGACGACGACGTGAATACTACAAAAACTAGATTAAAAGTTAAACCCAGAGATAATGCCTCTAAAGTGGAATCCAGAAACAATAGCTCAGCTACACTTATTGCCTCAAAAAGCCAAAAGAATAACACAGCTACGTCGTCTCAAAGAGGACAAAAAAGGAAGCATGAAGATTATAGCATTAGTGTGGAGGAAACTACTTTAACATCGCACTCAAATATTGATGCTGCGGATAGTAACAGATATGAAATGCGAAGAAAAAAGGTAATTTAAATTTAATATATTTTGTAAAGATGCTTAACAGTTTTCATCTTGTGCAATTCAAAATAGAAAAAGGCAAGAAACGTACAAAATATTCAAATTAGTGATGAGATGAAGGTCAAGCTAATAGATGATTGGGAATGGATAACGACCCAATATCAGGTAAGATATGTCTATCTTTTTATTTTGTCGAAAAAATTAACACTATTACACTTTACATTAGCTTGTTCCTTTGCCGAAATCAAAGACTGTCGAGAACATTCTTGACGATTTTTATCAATACAAGAAGAATTTTGACTCGCGAGGTTTAAATAGTGGTCATCAAAAAGATGATGATCCTCTTTGGCAAGATTTAGAAGGTCTAAAAGCCTATTTTAATGAAGCTTTAGGGGCTAGGCTCCTTTATAGAGCGGAAAGGACGCAATTATACGAATTCAGAGAAAAAAACGCGGAGGTGGAGTGCGCAGCTTACTATGGCGCCGAGCATCTTTTACGTTTATTGGGTATATATTGTATTTTTAATTGGTTAATATTATATTTCTTAATAGTTCATTTATATTTTCTAGTTGCTCTTCCCGGAATCGTCGATTCAATAAACATACGGGAAGAAAAAGCAGTTGATTTGTGCGGAGAGTTGATAAGGTGGATGTGTGTGTAATTTAATATTTTGTTATTAACACACATCTCATTAACCAAGTCATTTTCGCAATAGCTTCTTGGAGAGTCGGACTGAAATGTACTTTGCAAAGGTGTATGAAAATGCCTCTCCAATGTACATCCGACTCTCTGAAGTTTTTTAAGGGGACATAAAGTAGTAAGTGGTCAATTATTTTTAGATTTGTATGAAATATACCATAATTGCGATTTTAGAAATTTAAATTTTATTTATAGCATCTCATCACAGGATTGCTAAAAATAAACAATTTAAATTCATCGTTTGATTTCTTGGTTTATACATGTTACAGTGTGTGTATGTGTCTCGCGGTTTATAATACAAACAAACGTTTATTTACATCTATTGATTAAAACACACATTGAAAAGATCGATATGAGAAGCATACAAAAACATAGCGATAGATTGATTTCCGATCATTTAAATAAACATAAAATTTTCGGTACATGTATCGTCATTAACAGGTTCGAAAAAGGCAAGTGTGACCAAATCATTGATGGGCATATCCATATAACGATAAAGAGGGTCTAATAAATCAGAAGTAGAATCGTTCAAGTTCGATTCTATATATTGCTGGGGAGTTGTTGTTGTGATATTATGCGTAAGGGGGTTTATTGGAAACAAAAATTCTTCATAAGTTGTTTGATCAGTTGGAGATAACATATTTGGAAAAGTTAATGATGCATTTTGGATATCTTCTAATGTATTTGATAGTATTGAATCATCGAGTAATGAATCAAAGATAAATTCTGGTTCGTGAATAGTTATTTGCGGTTGAGCAAATTCATTCGTTTCAGTTTCCTTTTTTTCAGGTTTTGTCTTGGTTGCTATTGAGCGATTGCTTGTTTTTTGTACTTCTGGTTTCGCCTTATAAATATTCCAATCCTTTACAATAAATTCAGGAGATCTGATCTGATTTTCTGTCAAAATTTCGACAACTTCTTCAGCTAATACGCTATACCATTTTTTAACTTTTTGCGGTTCTTTTTCCCACGCAGAACCAGCTTTTTTCGAAAGTAGTGTCATGTTAGGCTTAAATCCTAAACGATGCATTTGTTCGAGGTATTGTCTTCGGTATATGATAAATGCATTAAGGTTTTTGGATTTCTTGCCAATTTTCTTTTGTGCTAGTTCTTGAGCAGTTATTTTGGGCGGAAATGGAACTTTGATAACGATATCCAAGCAACTGCTTTTTACCGTTGACTTAGAAGAGTTTCGTGCGTTGTTTTCGATAAGTTGTAAATGAGACATTGTGTTTGGAGACTTTACAAAGAAGTTTATGTTAATTTTTAATCGGATCGTAAAGAAACTCTTTATCACCGTTTCGTTTTGCAAAATTCCATATATTATATATCTATAAATTTGACTGACAGTCCTGCACATATTCTAAGTAAACGAGTGACTTCCCCTGTTTGAAAAAATAGATTCTATTGTTTTCTATTTTTAATCTTTTTAAGTCTATTTTTAAACAAATTTCATAGTGGTTCATCTTTTTTTATTTAGTAAGACAGATTTTTTATTTGTCATTGATTATTTATTAGATTAGTCATCGGCTATTGGTTTGATAAAAACAGCTCACAGACACTGGTGTTAGTATGTATGAGCCTTAATATCAGCGAGAAATATCATTCATTATACAGTCGCATAGCACAGTGCATTCCAAGAGTATGTATTAGCAGATATTCTTTGTACAGTCACGTCTCGTAATACACACTCACCATAATATGCATTAAAAAGAATATTCGTTAGATTCATTTAGTGTACCTTCATTTTTAGCAATCCGGAATTCGCAAAGCGATAAAGAAAATTTAAGAGGATAAAATTTAAAGAAGATGAATTTAACGCGCGTCAATCTTGCATAAATACGTGTCACTCATATGGCTGCAAGTGAAATTGCTAAATGCGACCATATAAAAGGATATGGTACAACCCTTTTGTTCCAATTTTGTATCGATCTGTCACATTTTGATTGGGATAGAAATGATCGGATTTTGTGGATTTGAATTAATTTTTTTTTTTTTTGATAGCAACAACAAAGTCCTCGTTTAAACCCATAAAAAGAACGGAAAACCAAATTCGGTACTTTCTGTATTGCGATTGTTACGTATATCTTGTTTAATAGGCGATCCGGCTTAATGAGGCTGGTTATCTCAGTTTCTGAAATTTAGTCCATTTCCAGATTAGTGGGTGTCCGATTTAACTGGGATGATGTGAAGGCAAGAGCGTGGGGAGGAAATAGTAAAAAGCGCGCGAACTTTATTCTAAAGGCGTATATATTGAATGCTTTTTTACTATTTTTCAATGGCATTTCTTGTATTTTTCTTGTTTTTTTTTCTACAGGTTTACCTCATTTACGCAAAATTTATTTTTGATGAGTTGTGGTTTTCCTTTCAAATTATCAAATTTATAGTGTTCTAATCCGAATCTTTTTCAGATTAAATGTGAAACTTTTCAAAAGTCACTTTTTTCATAATAAAAAAGAACAGAATGTCAATGAGTAGATGTGTAGCATCTTATTATTATCGATTGATTTATTTATAATTCTCGTATTGATTGTGGGGATCATGACGAAAAACGGATTATGGTGAAAATTTTGACCCAAATTGTGCAGATCATGGGATCATTTGGTCAGAATTTCTTATAATAAAAGAGCAATATTTTGAAAATAATGATATATGCATAAAATATATAACTTAAATTAATTTTGCAATAATGTTTATATCGCTAAATACTATATAAATTTATTAGTATAATTGTTATCTATAGTTTCTTATAAGAGATATTACAAATTTTCATCATAATTCGTTTTTCATCATGATCTCCCACAATTAATGTAAAATCGAATCTTTCATAAAATTCTATCCCATCCGTCTCCGAGCATAAGTTACCCCTGATTCCTGAGGTGCAAAATGGTAGCTTTTTTTTCGAGATCAATGAAAGCATTTGTGAATTGGCGCACCTTTTTAGTCGATTTTTAATCGAATGATTGTGATTTCTCGGAAATTGATACAATAATATGCATTATGCATACTATTTCTTCTAGAATAAATCTAGGCATTGAATTTTATTTACTCTTAGTATCAGTTAGTGATTTTCAATGCGAATATCTGCTATATTTCATCGATAACAATGAAATATGGCTAGACTCGAATAGATAAAAACAATCAAAAGGTTGTTATCTCGCTAAAGATTGTTGTTTAGTATGAATAGCTCATAATATTGTCATGATTACATATATTGTAAAAAGAGATATAATAAGACATTCAAAGCATTCGACTGGTGTTCCATTGAGAAGAGTCCATTGGCGCTTCATTGATGACACTGAATTGTTTATTACTCAATAGACCAAGTCCATTTGTAACTGAAACTGTATGCAAGCATATACTGCACCAAAAGTTTATTAGAAGTCCATTGGTTTGTTCAGTACAATCACTGGACCTGGTCTATTTATTGACAATACTGCTGCATACACAGGAAACCTTAATATAACGGACGCATCATACACAGGAAACCTTAATATAACGGACGCATCATACAAGCCCATTTTTTACTAATTACTAATAAATTCATGAACAGGTTTATTATAGACTGTTTGGATCTCGATCCGTTATATCGAATTTAATTGGTATTGAGATTCATTATTTTAAATGATAGTGTTTCATAATTGTTATTCTTTTTTGCTTAGCACTTCGAATTCGTTGAGCCTTACCCAAAAAATATAAATCATCTGTCTGTAACGTTTGTGCAAGTGTCTCCCGTTATAGTGACACGCAAAAAACAACATATAGCGAGATGTCAGTGTAATACATTAAAGAATAACTAGACTACTATTACATGTTTGAAACAGGCATCTTCAATTTCTCACACATCGTCCTACACATTCTTGATTTATCTCAAAATGCATCCTTTATGAACAAATTTTGGGCAAATATATATCAAAAGCAATTCTTGGCAGATTGAAGCTTTTATCGATACATTCATGTGTTACCCTTTTGTATATATTGTCAAATTTCAATATGACGATATGATCGGGGACAATTATAGTAAAGGGGTTCTGCTAATATCGTTAATCGTTATATCGAAGGAAATTTCATCAGTTTTTGGATCGACATCGTTACATCGAGATTTCAAAGTACGTATCGGTATTGGTTGACTGTTATACATGTACGTAGTTATAAAGGCCGAACTATACCGGGAAAGGAAATTTTTTAGATAGTGACTGACGCTAGCCACAATATTTTCATTTTATTTTCGAAGATTTATAGCATATCGATAATTTTAATTTTAATATCTAAATTTTTCTAATAATAACGAAAATTCGTATTTGTGTGTATACATATACATATCATATTTTAAAGAGTTAATTATGAATATAAAGAAGTAGTTAGAAGTAAAGTGAAAGCTTAAAATAATTATTAAAATAACATATAAAATGAAATTGAATGGGAATTAAAAGAATGAATAAAATTAATACTGCTTATACTGTTGTGGTTTAATTTCCATAAAGTTGAATTCTCCATTTGAGGTCAAATTCGGTACTCCTCTATTTTGATTAGGAGCATTAGGAATGGAGACCGATCGCACAAAATTACTGTAAACTAGACCCCGATGAAGAGATACGCTTGCTTGATCGTTCTCCCAAGAATAATTCGTGAATACCGGAGGATTGTTTACAAATGGCGAGGAAGAAGTTGAGCTGGTAGTAAAATTGGATCCAAGAGTTTGTTGGTTTGTCTTCGACAAACCTGGTTGACTTTTAATATTGGAAACCCTGTTCGAATCCAAAGTGGTTATAAGGAATTGTAGTTCTTTAGATTTTTCATTATTTTTTAATGGATGTTTTCGTTTGTGTTTATTTGGATTTGTCTGAATATCCCAAGGTTTATTCACAAATTCTTTGGATTCCATATGAGCTTTTTTTAATAATTCGCTAACATCCTCAGCCAGCTTTTGATACATTCTTTTTACCATGTCAGGTTCATTATTCCAAGCAGGACCCGCCTGCTGAGATAGTTGGGTCATGCTCAATTTCTTTCCAGTTTTTTGTAATTCCTCGAGATAAGTTGTGCGATAAAGAATGAATCCATTTGTGGATTTTGGAAGCTTATTCCTTCGCTTCCTCTTTTCGACCATTTCATCAGCGGTTGGAATTGGTGTTGTCAATTGGAATTGAGTTGGTAGTACATTTGTAAACTCGGAAGGGGATGTTGGTTGACTGGATTCTGAACTTTGGCTCGTGTGGGAAATCATGATTCTTGATACTCGTTCAGTTGATATGAATTAGGGCTTTGTAATTCAGTTGATATGAATTAGAGCTTTGATATGTTCCGATAATGAAAGAAACTTCGTAATTCTATTAATGATCTAGAACTTCGTAATACTCTAATCACGCACTAGAACTTCGTAATCAAGTTATTGAAAGGGTAAATGGCGTAGTGTATACACAGTAAATCCGGATATAACGGATGGGTCCAGACAATTAGAGAAAAGGTGTCAAAGATCCGTTATACTAATAAATCAATGATATTGAGTAAGGTTTGATAGAGACTTTTCTCACTCCGTTATGTCGGGGTTCACTGTGTATATGGTAAATATTCGAGGAAAGCGATCTTTGACAACAGTAGCAAGACAGAATGTTTTACATATATATATATATTTTTTTTCTCTAGATTTCACATTTAGTTAAGATAAATCGAGTTGCACAAATTTTGTAGATTAATTTCTAAGTGTTATGTTTTTAAGTTTACAAAACTCTACATTGACAGAATTGGCAATCTTCGGGAAAGATTTTTAAGCTTCCAAAGTAAAACTCTACATTACCAAAATTAGCAAACAGATAGAATCTTCGGGAACGGTTTTTTAGAAAAATCATGAAGGGCGGATGGAAAAGCAAAAAAAATTACTTCGATAATATGAACTCGAAATGGTCAGAACAACCCAATAGGCGTTTATAGTCCAGGGTGTTGAAAGCCGCATTTGTATGCGATAACTTTAATAATTTTCTATTTAAAATTTTTCCAAATAAAGCCAACAATGATAATTTCAGGTACTATTATTACAAACAAACCATTTTCCACCAAATAGGAAATTTACTTTGATTTATTCCCCTCCCCCGAAAAACTTCATACTATTAAACTTAATTTCCAGATATTTGAATACCTTTATAGAAAGCGCTCAATCATTTTACTAAATGTTCCTCATTCTATCACAAACGATCCCTTCGAAAAAAAGAAATAAAAGCTAGATTTATATCGGATTCCGGCCGGTAATAAATTGGTGATGATCCCCATTACATATACTGTATATAATTATTTTCCATGTATAGGTCTAATTTAATTTATGGGATTGGCAGAATGATGATTCCGTGCAAAGAAGTCTATTTTCTGTATTGTGTATCAAATAAAGGCCCTTTTCAAACACTTGTTTAAGTGAAAACTTATAAACTCGATATTTGTAATTTAGATCGATCGGCGTCCCGAATTATAATGTCAAGAATTATGCCGACTTTAATTCTATACGGACACGTCATTTAAAACACGCAAGAAAATAAAGTTAAGCTGTGTGATGAAAAAAAGTGATACCAATTCTTATTTGAAACGATGTAGATCTCAATAAATTTTTTATTGAATAAATGCAAGAACATATTTAACTTGATATAGAAATCAAGTTTCCCACTGGATGCATTATCGTTAGGTTATAAAACATTTACATACGTAATCCGTAATCCGTAATCCATTTGATTTTCGTAATCCATTTGATTCAAAATCTAGAATTTGATCTACATATATGCTAGTTTGGCTGCAAATTGTGGATAGTAAAATGAAATAAAAACCTTGGAGACTACAAGATGTGGCTATAAGCTAGTGTTGCTACAAGATGCGGCTATAAGCTAGTGTTGCTACAAGCTGCGATCACTATCAGAGTAAGTTTGATCACTAGCCACATTTATATTCATAATAACCGCAACACTAGCCTCAAAAGTTTTATACAATAAAACTTTTGAGGCTAGTGTAGAGTTTATTCTAAAATAAAACCGGTTCCAAAAAAAAAACATTTGTTTTCAGTTTGCAGAATAGACCGCTCTATTATTAGTTTGATCAGCTCATTTTCGTTGCTTTCTAAACTTAACACACTCGGTTTAGTAATCCGTGTGTTGGTTTGTTGGCCCAGAAGTGAGATTCCAGTATACGTACATTGTATACCGGCGGCATCTTCGATGTAAGCCAAGAAATGAAATATGATTTACATATCATCACAAAATTAAATATTTTTTTCGACTAGACTAATTAGGAATATCATTCCATTCTTGCTACGCGCGTTTTGGGATCCTTACCATTCAACATGACGCACGTGCATTAGTGTTAGGTAAGTCGATGGTTTAGTGTTTCAGATGAAACGATCCAAGGATGAAACGGCATAAGAATAAATAAGGTAAGATGAGTAACTAAATATGAGAACAATTTCCCCAACCAAAAAAATTAGAACATGTGACTTAGTGTGGCTTATGTATCAACTTGTTTTTGTAAACATAAGCGTTAATCTTTGTTTTCTGGCAATCCAAATCCACCCTTTTATTTTTATTTAAAATTTCACACTGAACATTTTTACTTAAAAGCTAAAAGATGAAGTTATTTGCTTGTTTTGAATTTTCATGATCTTGTGATTTTATTAGATAAATATATTGGTTATGGCTGGAAAAAGCCATTTTATTGGATAAATATCACGTGTTATAATTTTTGGTGAGAACACATATCATTTGGACAAAAGGATCACGTCATTTATAACTTACCGTAGATCGTGTGTAATGTTCAAAAATTTCCCGAGCACAAAAGAACAATTACAAATGCTGATCTGGTCATTGATACTTTTTATAGTTCTATATCGGGTATTGTATGTTCATAGACTTTCATCCATAAATCGGTCACTTTAGAACATAATATCTCGACGTCTAGTGATCCAATTTGAGCGAAAATACTACCATCCAATTTACCTAGTCTAGATATTTGTTGTTGATCAATTTTTCAGAAATTGATCGTCAAAAAAAATGAATCGGTCAATTTAGGATGTACGTAATATCTCCAGTGATCCGATCCAAACAAAAATAATATATACCATTCGATTTGTCTAGTCAAGACGAATCGAATGGTATTATTTTTGTTTGGATCGGATCACTGGAGATCGAGATAGCACGTCCTAAGTTGGCTGACTAAATTGTCAAAAAAATGAATCTGCTGCTTTAAGATGCAATATTTCGACGTCCAGTGATCCGACTGGAACAAAAATACTACCATTCTATTCATCTCGTCTAGATGAATCGAATTGTAGTATTCTTTTTTGTTCAAATCGGATCACTGGACGCCAAGAGTTAGATTATGAAATACATGTAACCTACCCCCTCCCGTAGATCATGTGTGATGTTCAAAAATTTCCTGAGCACAAAAGAACAATTACAAATGCTGACTATTGATACTTTTTATAGATTTGTAGTGCTTCTATATCGGGTATTGTATGTTCATAACGATAAACTTTCACGTACCAAATATAATCAGTTACTTCTGACGAGCGAAACGTTTCGGTTTTTGAAATTGTTTCGCCGAAACACTACGGTCTATCGGCCCTAATACTCGACCTGTCCCGTCCAGCTCGCTCGGCTCAAGCTGCATCATTAATTTAGGCGATAATGGGAATTTCGAATTTGATATCAATTGTGTTCAACAGCAAATGCGTTTTCATATTAACGTATCTTTCTTAAAAATTATAGCAGTAACCAATAGAAATAAAGGTTTGTATACAATATTAAAGATAGGAACCGAAAATCGATTTCAAGATCATTTTCGATTACTCGATTGATCGTTAGTACTCGAATATTGGTTACGACGACGACGATAATACATGAAACACATTATTATTAATCTTTTTACTACGAAGAAATCGAAAACGTTTTTGATGATTTGAAGAGCAAATCTTAAAGTTCAAAAATCGATAGAATGTATATAATAACGATTTTTTCTTTTACTCTAGATATGTTGATGGTTTAATCAAATTCATTTATAGTCCTTGACATGCAGTATATATTACACGAATGGATTCAATGTAAGGTCATCTGACAATTTCTAAATGACCCGTCAACACAATAATTCTGGCATAATTCCATTTGATTTACAAGTTTCCTATTTTGTGGCGGATGATGATCAATGAGCATAGTGGGCTTTCTTTGTAATTGGCTGATTTTTGCAGATCATTTTTAAATTCTATTGGTTAATGATTAAATCGAATAAAGGGATTATTATAATAATGCGATAAGTATGATTTTTTTAGCATTAACAGTTACATGTAGTTTGTTATAGTGTTTTCTGCCAACGAAATTTGAAAGTCACTTCATTAGATGCTACAGAAACGCCATTCTTTTCATAATCGTAAAGTCATCTTCTCCTTCCAGGTCACCATATTTTGCCTTTCTTCTCACCAATAGGACGCTGTACAGGCAACAACATCTATAAAATAAAATGGTAAATTAATATACGTATATTTTATTTTGTAAACATTCTGATTCGGAAGTACCAAATTGCAAAAACTCCTCTATAGCTAACTTCCGAATTGCTTTACAATTTTTCAAACTAACAGTTTATAGAATACGTATATTTACTAAGTCGAAAAAAATTTTTTGTCTGCGAATCCAATTTAAAGTTAGATGATCATCTTTTTTTATAGGAACACATTTGAAGATCAACCGATCCCGCTATGCTGGACCAATGAGGTCAATAGGGTGACTTAACCGCCACATTACATCACTTGCCTCAAAAAACACCGAGCCAATCATAACCAAAAAAGCGGTGTGTTACAAGTTTGATACCGTTACACGATCTGCATTAACGTTAACAAATTTGGTGGCATCAAAAAGATTATCGGATATTAATCCAAATGAATTCAAAAAATTATATCGTATGCATACTGTATTCTTTACATTTATTATAAAGGAACAAAAGTGTCTCACTAAATTTTTTCTTCGAAAAGTCTATTTACTTTTTTTAATACCTCAAAAAGTATTTACAAGTATGCTTGCACATGTCATCTTATGTATCGATACTAAAAATAAGAATATTAAAATACAAAGCCCTTTGTACGCAATAATAAATATAACGAGGTAATAAAATTATGTTTGTAAAGCTTGGCAAGGGGATGAAATAAGATTTTCATTCATCCTAAACTAGGAACGTAGTAAGCAAAAACTATATCTGTATCCTTTAAAGGAACAAAAGTGTCTCACAAAATATCAAAAATTTGCTTAATACTCAAAAAGTATTTACAAGTATGCTTGCACATGTATCGATACTAATAATAAGAATATTAAAATACCACTATTGTGTAATGCTTTGTAGTTTATCGAATGATAACAATAGTAAAGATAACGAGGTATAAAATTATGTTTGGCAAGGGGATGAAATAAGAAAATAGTGAAACACTTTTTCTTCCTTTAAAGGATACAGATATAATTTTTGCTTATTAAAGTTCATAGTTTAAGATGAATGAAAATCTTCCTTTCAGGGTATTACTTTTGATACCTAAAAGTGTATTTGTAGAAAACACGTACTGAAATCACGTCATTAAGTCATATTATGGCCAACCACGTTATATTAAGAATAAAAACATACAAGAGCAACTACGCCACTTAAACAATTCTTCTACACAAAAACAGAAAACGCGTACTGAAACCACGTCAATAACTTCATCATATTAATGGAAAAGGAAAGAAAAGCAATGCAACAGCAAACATGCCACTTATACAATTTCTGTCAAGAAACAATAATAGCAATTTATGAGTGCACGAGGTAATAAAGTCTCTTGTATGCGACGAAAATTATACCTTTGTTAGTGATTGTATGATCTCTGAAACTTCTAATCGAGCAAGATCTTCCTCGTTCATTTGGGTAGAAAATCCGATAGATTAATATAACTTGCAGAATTTAATTTCAAGAGAAATATTGTAATTGGAAAAACATAAAAGAGCACTACACTGTTAAAATAACAAGTTTTGCTAATCAATTAAAATGACAAACATAAAACTCGCACCTTCAACTAACCAACAACAAACCAACGGAAAAAAAAAACAAAGAATGGTTGATAATCAAGACTCCAACAAGTCATCATTACCACTATTACCAACAACCGATGTCAACGACAATCCAACAGAGCAATCCAGCAGCAAATTTCCCAAAATCAAAATAAATTTCGAGCCAACCATTACCGTTGAAGAATTATTAAATAAAAAAAAACCGGAAAGACTATCCAAACCGCCAAATGCATTTATGATTTATCGAATCGAATATCATAAAGAAATCAAACGTCAAAAAATTATGATACCAATGACTACACTCTCGCAAATGGCTAGCGTGTCGTGGAGAGAAGAAGAAGAGTTCGTGAAAAAATGTTACAACGATTTGGCGAAACAAGTTGCCGAAAAATGGGCAAAATCACACATCAAGTCTTCCTCTTTCAAGAAAAACTGGGAAATAACTTATGGAGGACAAAGCAGCAAAAAATTTAGTGAGAAGAAATTGAAATCGATAAAAAGACCTTCAGATACTGAAAAATCAGACGAATTGAAGATCATTCATGAGTATGAAGATAATATAACGATAACACCACCAAATGTATCAGTGAACGAACCGATACAATCCCATGATTTGCAAGATCCACAATTCTTGGATCCTTTCCCAGAGAATCAATATTTTATTATTGCAAGCAAGAATTCAACTCCAGACATTCAAAATATTTACGTTGAAATCCCAAGAACTGAGTTTCATCCTTCATATAGTGTCAGCACTTCACCATTGGTTCCTAAGGTGTCCTATCATAGTCCAGCGAATTCTCTTGAAGATTGGCTGTTCCCTTATGAAACAGAACTCTCTTATAAAGAAATAATAAAGACAATCAATGCGCCTGATGATTTTATTACGTTGCTTCCTTCTATTATGGAAGCCGAACTTTTTGAATAACTATACTATGATACATTAAGAAATTCATATAATAAATGTTTTACCATAATTTAATAAAAGATTGAATAAGCATACAATAAATTTATTGAGGAAACATTAAGTCCTATAGATGTTTACATGCCATAAAGTACTCCCCTTATCACTAATTCAATGATAAAATTTTTGAATTATTCATTTTGCAGAAAACATGATTATTTATAGTGTGTGTGCTATACGGTACTTAAAAATGGAAATATAAGTATTATAAGTATATAAGTATAAGTATAAGTATAAATATTATTATCGCTCCCTACCTATTAATAACGTGGGGATAAAAAAGATAACCCTGAACTCTTTAGGTGACCTTAACCTAATCCTGAATTTTCAATTTGTTATTTCAATTTTAATATATAAATATAAATATAAACATAAGAATAAAATAAATAAAACAGAAAGCGTTTTTTATTTATTCTATTACAGAATAACAAAAATTCTATACATTGCTTTCTTCAGATGGATTCTCGGATATAATTGTAAATAAATTATAAAATTGCGTGTTTACTTCAGGTGACGGATATAACAAAGGATCAAAATTGGGATCAAAATTCTGCGGCGTTTGATCGCACAAATGTAAAAAATTGATGTTTTCTTGCTGTAGATCAGCTGTTCCTAATGGAAAATTTATTGCATTTTGAAGATTGAAGGAAGATTGTTGTTGCGATTGATCGATATAATTCAAACCTTCAGTTAATGGAGTTGTAGTAGCACTGACATCAAAATAAAAAAATTCTGGATAGGAATCAATAGTTTGATAGTTCAATAAAATTGGATGCTCATTCTGTTTAGAAAATGGTGCATATGAGTGTGTAACTATCGTTAATTCGTTTGGAAATTCCGGGAATTCGTTTTGTGCGTCAATATTTTGTATGTTAATTTCTTTGTTAGCTTCATAACTTCTGTCAAAAGTTTGTTCATTTTGACTTGGAACTATAATGTCAATAACATCAGCTTTTTGGCTCTGGTTTGCTGAATATTCTTCTTTCCAAGGATCGCTAACGAAATTTGGTGATTGAATATGTAACTTTGCGATGAAATCAGCAACTTCTTCGGCCAAATTTTTATACCACTTTTTGATGTGCAGCGGTTCTTTTCTCCACGCAGCTCCTACTCTTTTCGATAATTGTCTCATTCCGATTTTCATATTCTGTCGTTTCATTTCTTTTAAATATTCTCCTCGATAAATAATAAATCCATTCGACGGTTTAGCAGATATTTTGATCCCTTTTCGCTTATTTACTATTTCTTCTACTGTAACTGATGGTGGGAACGGTACTGTTGTAGATACATTGTTGTCCAATGCATTTTGGTCAGAATTGAAGTCAATATTGGACATCTTTTTTTTTGTCGAATTAACTATTTTTCTGATTTAACTATTTTGCTGATAATTTGATATTGATAATCGAGTTTTCAGCTTCTTTAAATATGTTCGCGAACTACTATCGCCACATATGTACAATAATGATTGTGCACAGCTACATATTGTGGCGCTAACTCAGATTGATTGGTTAATTACTTGCTTCAGCCGAGGCTTGTTTGTGAAATGTTCATTTTCATTGGCTAACAATAATGGATTTTCATACTATCGTTATGATAATACACTGACGCTTCGGATTCGTTCAAAAATAGCCGAGTTAACATTCGTTATAGCTATTTCCATTTACGGAAAGATCTTGTGAATACATAAATGCGAGAATTTTGAAGGATTGTTAGTACGTATCTTGTAATTATATTCTATAAGATGTGCTTAAAAAATTCGCTATAATACCGTAATTTTAAAATTCTCGAACTACGTAACGCATTTAATAAGCGAGAGAAAGAATAACTACACTAATCGGTCTGTCGTAGTAACGTTAATTTTCCTTGTTTGATTATTTTATTCTTTAGCATACTATATGCACAGTATATCCGCAATGAATCAATCAACGACCACGCACTGTGCACGTATAATGAACTTTTAGTATTTTGCAAAAATTACATGTTTTTAAACCAATATAATAATGCAATTTATAAACTTTTTCGTGTCTTTCGTATTTTAATCCACAGTAAACTAAAAATTCTCAATATTGAGGTGTGCACTGTATGAATAAGATTTGTCCCTTAAAAAATTCTACAATTATCGCTGTTTGCATATTGCTGTGACTCCCTCCACCGGATAAAAGTAATCTTACGATTATTTCAAATATTCTAAATTTCCCTTTTTCTTTGCTGATTACCTTTGTTTTGTGTTAATTAACGGAAATACTCTATTATCATTATTATTACATATTTTGTTTTAATTAACGGAAATACTCTATTATCATTATTATTACATATTTTGTTTTAATTAACGGAAATACTCTATTATCATTA